CCCGGGGCTAGGGAGCCTGGTGTGGGGCTACAACCCCTTGCTCCTCCAGGGAAGACCTTCACAATCAAGATACCCCTCCCAATTTTTATTGACTACACGCGGGCATAGGACCAGCCCATTCTGTGTCTCAACCCTTCCTACCAGTCTTGAGGTGGCTTCTTCTGTATGTCCTTAGTTGTAGGGCTTCAGTTCAGCTGGACTTCGGGCAATTCTTATCTTTAACTTTTGTAAAGTACAACCTGTGGCTTGTTTGTAGTAGGCTTAACTATGGGGATAGCTATACTGAAGTCTCTTTGCATAATAGCTTTTGGATGGTTTGTTCTGTGTAATTCATTAGTATCTGCCTGGGTTCTGTGTCTTTGGGCACGTAGGCAGCAGGCTTGGAATCCAACCTCCTAGTTCCTTTTTTTGTAAAAGTAGTCCTTATGCCCTTTCCCTGTATTAAGATTATTAGTGTATCTCTTATCTGATTCTCCACAGTTTCTGGTTGAAGAGGAGAAAGAGAAGTCATCGTAACAGGAAAATATTCATTAATGAACTTGCCACTTACAAACTTAGGACCCAGTCCATTATCCCTCCCTCTGTTTTTAACCCTCATGTCCAGCCAGGCTCCGGAAGCATCTACATCTTGGTCATCTGTCTCTCCCAGGTCATAGGGCATTTTGCAAATACAAGACAAACAATGGAAAGTGAAATTGTAACTCATGTGAGAAAAGTGGAATTTCATTAAATCAAAGCAAGGATTTTGGAGAACTGCTTGAATGACATGTCCAGGCAATAATAGACAAGCATCTGGCAGTGTGAGACCTGGTAATTGATGAAGAAAAGGGGGAGGAGATTTGACAACCAAGAATTAAAATGCCCTTGAAAAATCAATAATGTATTTTTTGCAAAAACGTCCTCTTTTTTATTTTTTTAATTTTTTATTGGGGAATTGGGGGAGAACAGTGTTTGGGAATTGGGGAAGGAGACCAGCCAAGTTGTTGTTCTTCAATCTTAATTGTGGAGGGTGCCAGTTGCCATCTGGCTTCCTGTAGGCAGCTCGTGGCCTCTAAGCTCAAGGTGCTATGTTCAATCTTAGTTCCAGGTGGGTGTAGCCACCATCCCATGAGGGAGTGGAACCAGCAGCCTTGTTGTTAAAAGCTCACGCCCTATCCACTGAGCCATCTGAACAGCAGCTCAGCTCAAGGTGCCAAGTTCAGTCTTAGTTGCGGGTGGGCATAGCCCACCATGAAACAGGCAATCTTGTTGTTACACCAACTGAGCCATTGTTGGCAGCTCAGCGACAGCTCAGCTCGGGCGCAGCATCGCTAGCCCATGTGGGAATCGAACTGGCGGCCCTGTTGCTCAGAGCTCGTGCTCTTAAGCCAACTCTTAACCAACTGAGCCACTCGGCCAGCCCAAAAATGTCCTTTTTTTTTATAGCACTGTGATAACCAAATGTTGACTAGGAAGGATTTACCATACTATAAGACAATCTACATGAAATTTATTCTTTGTTCTCAAAACAGAACAGGATTGCAGTTATAACCTAAATTTTGTTCAATATTTACTATTGCTTTTCAAATAGTCAGGTTTTGATTTTTGCTTATTCGAATAAAGTTCTAACAAAACTGGTTTACTCTTAACTATGAAATTTTGCATGTGGCTTCACTGCATATCCCTTGTTCTGATGCTAAGTTTCCTGGGTTACAGAGATCTCTGGGGAGAAGATTCTTTCCAAAAAGAAGGCGGGGACCAGCTCACAAAGGACCCTGAATGCTGGACCTCTGTGCTGGGAACCAGAAACCTTGTCCTAATAGAAACCTGCTGCCTGTTTTGAACACGGCTCCTTTTTGTCTAACACCAACTTTGTTCCTGAAATTAGAAACTACTCTAGGCCAACTTTACCTCTTTTAGAAATGGCAAAACCTTCTTTAGTCTCCTTGCTTTTCCTTTTACTTAGGAACACAGATCCTGGCATTGGGAGAATGTTTTTGGGTGCCGAGGTTCTATTTTAGGCCCTCTGCTATTGCACACCCATATAGAGGGCTATTTTAATTCCTTTCAGTCATGTGGAAAATTGGCACATATGTGACGCTCTTTCTAGCACTTTACCTTTGAGAGATAATCTCAGCTGATGAAACACATGCACTCACAGTAATTCATAGACTAAAAGCTTGTTCTGGGCTCCCCGCAAGCTTGAAGACTGGGGTTCTTGGAGGTAAATGGTCAAGTGGATTTTGGCTCCTTTTTTCTCCAGCAGGAGACCTGTTTGTATTTCTGTAGGGATTGCTTGTTTTAAAGATGATTTCAGGCAGCTGGTTATTCTATCACCACATTCCATGTCTTGAACCCAGAGGCTGAAGTTCTAAAGGTGCTGGGCTAGGTCAGGGCAGCTATTGCATGTTTCGTTATCTTCCTTCTTGGCCGGTATGATTTCTTAGAAGAGATGCCGCAGGATACACTAGCCACCTGCCTTCCAGCTGAGCCTCTGATTGATCTGCCTGCCTTTCCTGCCTCTGGCTCTGTCTCTTCTCCAGAGGGCTGAGTGGCAAGATTTTCTGGTTCTTTGATTCTTTGTCCAGAGGACCTGCCTATATAGGCTGTTTCCTTGCCCAGAGTACTGCCTCAGGTGGCAGAAGCAGAAGGAGCGGCCTATGGGCTTGCCTGGTTCTTGAGCAAGAACCCCCATGGGGAACCAGTTGCTAGCTAGCACTTTGGTACAAAGCAGGCCAGAGTGAATCCTTTTATCAGTACCCCTCCCAGGACCACAAAGGAGATAGAGTTTCTGGTTTATGGACCATGCATGGTTTCAGGAGAGAAATTTTTACGTTCTACCTTAGAGTGCTGGACTTTTACCCTTAAGGACTACAATTCCTTCCAGGCTGACTTAACCTTTGGACAATTGCACAGGGCAGGAGTCCCCCCAGTTGTTGTTATCTTAGTTAGGCAGCCAGGCCTTGGAGCTTGTGTGGAGAGGGAGGGATTCTTAGCCTAACAGCATTCACATTTGTATTTCTCTCTTATGAGAAATAATTAAGGCTTGGTTGCTCTCTCTAATGGGCCTTTTTAGCTACCATAGGGTCCAGGACTAGCCGGTAGAACCTTCTAAGATATTGAAAAATTTTTGCTGTCCAATATGGTAGCCACTAGCTACATGTGGCTACTGGGTATGTGAAATGTATCTAGTGCAGCGGAATTGCTTTCTGAATTTTAAATTTTATTTAATTTTAATCAATTTACATTTAAGCAGCCACATGTGGCTTAGTGGTTACCATATTGGGCAATGCAGGATAGGTCATTTTATATGAGGTGTTTATGTATTTATTTTTTAATTAAATAGGGAAAACCTTGTACATGCACATGGTGGCAATCCAAAAGGTACAAAAGGGTATCAGTGAAAAGTCTCTCTCATCTCTACCTTTTGCCCCTAAGTTTTCCTTCCCAGTACCAGCCATAATTACCCATTTCCTGTATATCTATCCAGAAACATTTCACACATACATAAGCATAATGTATATATTTCGCTTTCTCTCTTGCTCAGTGCAGGAGGTGTTATTCTATCCACTGTCTTCTGTTCCTTGCTGTTTTTGAGTTCATAATGTACCTTGGAGGTTATTACCCATAGAGACAAATAAAACTGCCTCATTATTTTAATTGCTTGCATTTAATTTTATTTGTGTTTAATGGCCATACATTATACTTCTTTCTAGAAGTTATACCATCATTTACTTAACAGGTTCCTATAAGTGGGCCTGTGAGTTATGTCCAATCTTTTGCTATAAGAAATGATACTGTAACAAATAACCTTGCCAAAACACATTTTCACACATATTCGGGCGTAAACATAAATTCCTAGAAGTGAGATTGTTAGGTCAAGGGTATGGGCATTTGATATTGCTGAGGACTTGGCCAAATTGCCATCTATAGAGTTTGTTGATGGGAATGTAAACTGGTACATTGTATGAGAACATCTATTTCTCCACAGCCTCAGCAACAGTCTGTTGTTAGACTTTTTGTTCTTTGCTAGTATGATAAAGATTGATTTAATTTGCATGTCTCTTATTATAAATGAGATTAAATCTTATAGATTTAATGTGCACGTCTCTTATTATAAATGAGATTGAGCATCTTTTTATGTTTTAAGAGTCATTTATGTTTCCTTTCTGGTAAATTATTCAGATCATTTGCCCATTTTTCTATTAGGTTTTGTTGATGTTGTTTGAATTGATTTGTAGGAACCCTTTGTACATTAAGGAAATTAGTCTGTTGCCTCTGATATGTATTGACAAATTTTAATCTTGCTCGTGGTATCTCTTCCCATGTGGACATTTAAAAACATTTTTATGCAGTCAACTTATTAATCTTTTTGTTATCTCCTCTGGGTTTTATATCTTACTTAAATGCCCATGAAGATATTTAAAACAGAGTACTCATGGTTTCTTCTAGAACTTTCTTAGTTTTATTTTTCTATGTTTAACTTTTTGACCCTCAGAAATAATTCAGGGCTTTGTGGGTTGACCGCTCCTTGCTCATCTCCTCGTCCTGCTGTGGTGGTGTTTCTCTCTGCACTGTCCACCCCGGTGTTTGAGCTGTGTGGTCCCCTCTCACTAGCCACTCTAGTAGAAATAGTCTCATTTGCCTGTTGGTTGCCACCTTTCTGCCACCTTCCTATCATTTCTTTCTGAGTACAACTTTTAGGTAAACCATAATCCCAGCTGGAGAAGGAGAGTTGTCTGTATTTGAGACTTTCCCTTAAGTTTGGAGACCCCAGAGCTCCCCTTCACCTGAGCATCCCTGTTCCACTTTGTAGGCTTTCCCACCCCTGTAGCCTGGTGATCGCCACCTCACGCCCATGCTTTGTCCTCTCACCATAGATGTCTTCTTTGGCCTCCTTCACACCCTCGTGTTTCCTAACAGGTACTGCCCTTTGTACATGTTGTTTAATTGGGGGAGGTGACTTGAACAAGACGAGACTATAAAGTCACAGGATATTTGTACTTTGCTTGTGCCTTGGGTAGCATTCAGCCCTCAGCAAAGCCAGTAACTGGCTAGCATGTCATTCGTATTCCCTAGTATGATTTAATGCATTGTCATTTTATTTCTTGTGATTTCAGAACCTCATTTTCATCTTCTGCCAGAGCCAGTAGCAGCTGGGAAAGAAGACTGTGCTCTTTGAAGAGTGAGTATGGGTTTTTAACACCATAGTTTACAAAAAAGAAAAAAAAAGAAGAAAGAAAAAAGAAAAGCAGTCTTTAATGAGCCTGGGGCTCCTCTGTAAGCTCCCTCAAAACCTCTCTGCAGGCCAACCTGTGTTGGGTGATTTCTCTGGGTCAGTAGGTCCGGTGGGAGGGGTTTGGGCATCGGAAGGTTTTCAAAGCTCAGGTACGCACCCAAAAGCCCCCCAAATAGTTTTCAAAGAGTTTGGAGCCGGGCTCTGACTTTAAAGGGAGTCTTGAAGACCTGGGTCTGTGGGGACCAGGGTGTTTTCCTGGGAGTGTGACTCTTGAATTAGCCCCAAAAGCAAAGAGGAATTTATCAGGCAGCCGGTACGTGAGTGTGCTCCCCACAAAGGGGACAGCATGAGGAAAGACAAAACAAGAGGTTGTGCAGAGCTCTGCATGGGGGCAAGAGTTGGTTATCTGGGGTGCAGGCAGAGATGTGGGAATCCAGACCAGGAAGTTGCGTGGCTATCATATAGAGTGGTCAGAGTTCACATTAGACCAGAGCAGCCTAACCCCTGGTGGGAACTGTGAAGATTGCTCTGGCAGCTGGTGATGGGAGAACTGGGCTGTGAAAGAGCAACCTTTACAGAAACGGGAGCAAGAAGTGAGGACCTGGACCCCATGTGGTGGCTGAGGGAGCTGTATGTGGTCTGACTCATACAGAGCCTCATGCCTGGTGGGATTTTTCTTTCCACCCACATTCCTAATAAATGTTGAACCAAAGTGACATAAGGAATTGGTTGTAAAAGGCTTTTGGGGGTGTAAACCCCCTAAAGCTGTGCTGTGCAGTAGGGTAGCTTCTGGTCATATGTGGCTATCAAGCAGTTAAAATGTGATAGTTTGAGCTCTGAGCAACAGCGGTTCGATGCCTTCCCAAGCTGAGTTGCCGCTGAGCTGCCAAAAGGTGGTAGGATGGATGGTTCAGCTAAAAAAAAAAAAAAAAATGTGATAGATGTGACTGAAGAACTGAACTTTTTTTTTTTTTTTTAAGAAGTTAGAAAGTTTATTTAAGGAGAGAAGGACTGGCAGAGGAATTGCCCAGGGCAGTCTAGAGTCTAGAGTAGACAGCTGCCAAGAACTGAACTTTTAACTTTATTTAATTAATTTAAATGTAATAGTCACTTATTTGACAGTGCGTAACTATTTGGACTTGGACAAGTTGGCTCCATGGCTGGCACATCTCCTTTATTACATAACAGGAGTGGGGAACAAGTGGGAACAGTGGACGACGCATTGGAGGCTGGGAGGCTAGACTGCTGGCGATACTGTTGGCAGAAATCAGTGAGTCAGGAAAAGGGAGAGAGATGTGTCAGAGATGTTGTAGGACTGTTGGACCATAGGAGTGATCAATCAGATTTTTGAAGAAGTCTGGAAGGAGGTCCTATCTAGGTATGATGATTTTTTTCAATTACCTGTAGAGGCAGTGGTGGAGGAGATAGGAATGGAGAGCTCTCGAAGGAAGACAGAGGAGAGTATCGTGGCAATATCCAGAGGAGAGAGAAAGAGGAAAGCATCTCAGGACCCAGGCCAAGCGTGCTCATAACCATGGCTCATTTCAGCAGCAGGGCTGTCAGAGCTGCAAAGCACAGAGAAGGAATGGGCTTGGCCAGAGTGATGGGGAGATAATAAGGCCAGTAGGCCAGAAGTGCATCCGATATGGCGGTAATCCTGGGGGCCGTGCCCCCCTTTCAGTGATGACTGGGCAAGCTTAACTTCCTGCTTGGAAATTTCAGTGTGATTTTCCTCCATGATAGAGAAGATATATATGACAAGGAATTAGAACTGCCCATTTCTTGAATTATGCTGTCTCATCAATCCTGGGGCTTCCACATAAGAGAATCTTTACTGTTTCTGTGTCCTTTTCAGCTATTGATCATTAATGATAGTTTTGAAGAATTGGTTTAACTTTGTACGAACCTAGTTTCAGAAATTAGTGTTGGGTAGGCACAACAATATAACATATATATTATATGATATATATATTACATATATCATATAATATATATAATATATAAATATATAATATAATATACAGCTGGGATATTATACTCAGATTTCAAGAATGTAGTGTTTTCCTAGTGGAAGACAGTGTGTAAAGAATTTTCATATTGCAGAACTAAAGGAAAAATGATAAGTAGCACTTGGATAGTTTTAAAAAGATACCAGCAGAAATGAGGTAATGC